GCGGACGACCAGCGCTTCTCCACGAAGTATCCTGACGCCTTTCACACCTCCAACACCCCCTGATTCTTCTAAGAAGCTGCTTTTCACCCCCATCTCCAAGCCTATCTTCGGCGTTGGAGTAACTCCGGCGATTCCGCAGCCCTTTTTCCAGGAAAAGGTGACAGCGGCACAGGATGACCCTTTCCAACCGAAGTTGTTCCGAGGCGTCACCTTGGTGCTTGAAGAGAGTACGTCGAGACATCTTGAAGCTGATAGCGATCACATCTGACTAACACGTCATAGTCTCCAAGGCAAGCGTCGCAGCTGCTACCGTCAAATATAACAGCAACCCCACGTTCGTGTTCACGCAGAATACCAGTATCAGTACACGAACACGTTCCAAGACAGCCCCCACCACACCAATCGCTCCAGCTATACATACCGCTATTCGTGAAGAGACAACCATCGTTACATCTCCCCAAGATCGCATCCATCCGCCTTTGGACAGCAAGTTCTCGAAGCTACTAGAACAACTCGTCCCACACGATCTTCATGCAAGGCTGGCCAGCGCTCCGGGCTACTGCCCCGCGTCCCTCGTAAAGAGCCCCTCTCAACGATGCAGTCACATGGCAAAGCCTCAGGAATCGCGTCGTGATGTTGTTAGCGCTGTGAAGGATATAGCGAAGTTCAAGAGACAAGAAGACTACCGCCGTATGCTACGCCGTGTCAAGACGATCGTGCAGTCAGTCATGTGCAAGACGCATCAGGGCACGGCGTTGAACGAGATTGAGGGTGGATCCAGGATATCGCAACTGCGCAACAAGCTTGAAGGCAGGGTACACATGACGAAACAAGATCAATCGACTTTTACGCGATGGGTCAACACGATCAGTCACCTTGAAGCATCTACGAATCACGCTGCGCGACCCACGACCACTGTCATAACATTTAAGCCAGCTACACAAGTCAAGCGGGCAACAAAGCCCAAGTTCAGAGTGTCAACCACTGAGGCAACTGTCCACTTCTCTTTCTCATGCTCATCGGGCTTCACACCTTATCAACCAAAGAAAGTCCGGGAGCTCTCCGTGTTCTCTGCACTTTACGAAAGAGCCGCTTCTCCATTGGGTGCCAAAGACCTGACTCCGGGTCATGTTTACCTCTTCTGGGACAAGGCGTATTTCGGCATCGTCAAGATCGGGTACACCAACGATCTGGCTACGCGGCTCAAAGGCTGGAACACAAAGTGCAAGCGCAAGCACGACTATCACTCCCGTATGGAGAGTCAGGTGGTGATGCCACATGTTCATCGCGTCGAGCAGCTTATACACACTGAGCTGAAGGAGTGTAGACTGCGAAGACAATGTGAAGGCTGCGGTAGGCTGCATGAAGAATGGTTTGAAGCCAGTCAAGCGCATGTAGTCAAGGTTATGAAGAAGTGGCGGGAGTGGATTCTGCAAGAGCCTTATGTGCGGGACGAAGAGTCGGGGGAGTGGGTCCTCAAGCCTGAGATGTTTGCTTCTCTCGAGCAGATGTGTGAGCCTCTACCCCAGGATGCGGCTACCCACACGCCGAGGAGGAAGAGTGCAGGCATGCAATGCGGCTCGCAGAAGAGGAAGAGCCCTCGGCGAACAATGTAAGAGCAAATTGTGGTCAACGTGGCGGCGACTAGTCGCTGTAGGGCGAGGTGAAGGCAGGGGAAAAAGCGTCACCGCGAGTTCGCTCTCACCTTGAACACAGCCTCGAAACCCCCACTGCGCTAGGGTAGTATAAAGTATCGACTCCGACTTGCAACTGTCTTTCCTCTTCGTTCTCACACATCGCTTGATATTATTGTCACCACTCCGCCCGTCGCATCAACATGGTCGCACACAGTATCTTCGAAGCAGCAAAGCTCGTCCGAGCCCGCTACGCGCCCGCCACCGCCGCCTCGCAAGGTGAGGCTTCCGGTCACATCGACACCGGAAGAGTCACGAAGACCATCGTTCGAAACCGCAGCCGTGTCGCCGGCAACTACGCGAAGACACGAAGCAGCTACGGCAGCTTCCAGCCGAACAGCATCGACTGGGCAAGCGAAGCCGATTGGCTGAAGCCATTCCTTGGTACCTCGCCGCCGCGCAAGGACATCATGATGCTGAGCTCGACCTTGAAGCCTGCCGCCAAGATCGTCTATATCTTGAAGCATGAGCTCGCAGATGATGACGCCATCGCTCTGCTCGCTGGTTGCGGTATCAGCGATAAGTCATCCGATGAGTTCGCTCGCGCCAGAAAGCGGACGAGGGACTATCAGTCGGAGTTCCAGGCCGAGGTCATGAGCGACTTCATCTATCCCAGGGTAGCCATCGTCATATGCGAGTGGAAGGAGCAGGCTGCAAATGCTGATAAGGCCGTCGAAGACCTCACCCCGGTTGAGCTCGAAGCTCTTTGGCAGGGCGACTTCGACAAGGACCCGGAACGTATGGCGGCCGCGATGTGGGGAGACGTCGGCAAGAGTATCCCTTGGGATAAGATCTACAACCTCGGGTTCGGTACCGCAGAAGTCAAGACCAAGTTGCAAGCTGTCAGGGACATGTTCCGCGCCAAGTATGTCTTCGCTTGCGAGCAGACGCTCAGGATGCGTTACTCCGACCCTGCTACGCTTGAAGACGACGACGATGCGCTTTCCTGGATGACTCCGGCTGTAAGTTCCAAGCACATCATTGTTATGACTTCGGTATGCTGACAGCAATAGCAACGTTGCTATGCCAAATGGCGCGGCTTCCGCCACGAAGAGCGCTTCACCGATACTATCGTGGGCTATGCGAGCCTTCCGGTACACGGTGGACCTCCGAATGATCGGAGGAAGCAGTCAAGTGCTATTGCAGTCCCGAAGTTGAGTGAGCACGATGCGGCGTTCATGGCCGCACTCTTGAACAGCGATTGGGAAGGAGAAGGCGAGGAGGCCGACGAGGAAGTTGACATTTTTGCCGATTGAATATACCCTTGGCGCGATGTCACAACTGTGTTTGGGGACTACGACAGTGCTATGGAGAACAACTAGATAGCCGTTGCCTAGTTCTGGCAAATACGAAGGGATTGAGGGTGCACTTGCCCCCGCTGCCGAATGTACTTCCCCCCTAGCTAATGACCGTGTTCTTGCCATGTTGATTTTGATTGTACCCTTCTTGCCTCACGACACCTTCTACATCGCACCATCGACACGTTCTGGCTGATGTCAACCAACATACATCGTACCCAGAGACGACGTGGATATCGCAGCCCATCGTTACCTCACCACACACGTATTATTTTACCGCCTCCGTCCCACATCACTCAGGTGTCTTACTTCGGGTACGCACCATCGAGGGTACGTGTCTCAGTGTCCCTCCTTGCTAACATTTCTGGTCTAGAAACACCACGACGACCCCCTCCGCAAGGTTCGGTTGCGCCATGACATGAGCATCGGGGACTTCAAGCTTGCGATAGCGCAACGGAATTTCTCGAAGTCATAGGAAGACCAAGAGGCCAACGTCGTCGCCATCGCTGCCAAATTGATCTTCACCAAAGGTTCGACATGTTCTTTCAGGCGGGGACAAGATCTGGATCTCCCACCGTATGACCGGAGTTCGCATGCAAGGTACGGTAGCGACCTTCGGAAGTGCTTGCCTCTGACATAGCACCAGATTGACCACGCCCCGTCATTTCCCAACACAGCACACCTTTTCCCATTGCAGAACTCTTCGTACCGAAATTCGATACAATACTACCAATATGTCCACATCATCTCCAAGCAAGCGCGTCGCGTCATCGGAGAAGCAGCCAGGAGGCTCCGGGAAAAGGTCCAAAGACGAAGACTATCCGTCCCCGGACATTTCCCCGGTCGAGAACAACCCAAACAATAGGCCATGGGAAAACAAATACGATGCTCCCGTGATACGGAGCGAGGCAACTCTCGCGGACTTCAAAGCCGCGATAGCGGAATGGGATTTCCGTGCGTCATTCCGAGACCAAACCGACGCAGCAGTCACTTGCGCCTACGCACGCATGTTCACCAGTGAACCTCGTCCAGAGTCAACAACTCGTGACAATTTCCTATTGTCACATATGCTTTTCTTCAGGCTGTTGCAAACCTTGTACTTCTTTGGGTATTTATGACAATCATAACGCGTTCTATCTATGCTAATGTTAACCTGCCTGTTATAGTTGCGCGAAGTTTATCCATCGTCCCTTTCACTACTACTATGGAGTCCGCTACTGTCCGCATCGATATCAAGAACATAAAGCAACGCCTTATCTCCCTCGAAAGGCCGGGGAAACGGTTCTCCACGCCGCCGCAGCTCCGAAGACACGGTAGTCAAATTGCCAGATTGGCTCCAGATTCCGTTCGTGAGGATAGTCCCCGACCTCAACATAAAAAACACGTACGATCGAAGATCACGACATGGACGTATGCTGATACGCATTGCGACAAACACCTCTTTGGAGAATACAATAGCGCCACCGAGACCGAGATTCATCAACGTGCCGCTGTTGTAACCTCTCCGCATCCCCATATGATGCGGAAGGACGGTACGCTGCGTCATCGTATACGGTAAACGATTCTGAAAGACGGGAGCATTGACCTCTAGTCTACTCTCCACAGCTTGTTGTTGCCGGATTCCGCCAAAGGTGTCATTGAAACACCCTGGTTGCCATGAGCCCTTCTCCATCGGAGTAGAGATCTTAACATTGGACGCGAATGACGCGAAACACCTTTTGCGCGGCAACCCCACGTATGGAACTATCGTACTATCACGGTCTCTGGAAGGCAGAAGAGGTGAGGGAACCGCTGTTCAGTAACGCAAACACGCGATACAAACCCCCAACTCTCAACTACTATTGAACAATTCTAATATCCAATTTCCAAAGATCAAGCGCACACCACGCAGACATGTCATCTCCCACCGACACCGAGCGCCAACACAAAGCCATGAAGCGCATGGACCATCTTTACGCGCACAAGGACGCACCTTATTCGAGGAAACATTGAACACCTTGGAGCCTACATGGACGTTGGGTCATCTACTTTGCATGCTTTCATCTTGATGTAGGCTGTAGGCCTACTCGTGCTTTTCTCTGCACGAGGTCGATGGACTTTCCAACGACACAACAATACGCGGTTTCAACAAAATCCGATGGCGCTTCCCATCACATAAGCACAAGCCACAGCCAGAAAGACCCACCACGGAAGGGGGTTTCGAGACGGAGTACGAGCAAGATCTACTTGCTGAGTTTAAGGAACTCATCGACCTTGACGTACACAGATGGGTCGGCATGGTCCAATGGTTCGATGGCATGCCGTTTGGCGTCGCTGGGGACTCGGGGGCATTAGATGCCATCGAAAATTCTGTAAAGATCCCATTGGGGTTACATATTGGATCGCCGCATGAGAGCATTCTGGAAAACACAAGTATGTTCTTGTGTCTAGACGCATACTTCCTGGAGGCACGTCTGCTGGGGCTCCGCTTGGAGTGTGCTTCTGAGGAGGACGAGGAGTCAGAGGAGTCAGAGGACGACACATGACAAGCGGTGGGCAGAAAGAGCATCACGAGTACGATGTATAGTTCTGAAGTAGATATTTGCATACACTAGCACAGTATCAGGATGCTTGTAGTTGCCAAGCCGAGATTCATTGCGTTCCTTGTCGAAATATCGGTTCCTGAATTCTCAGTGTTCTCAGTAAGGTTGGATCAGGGTGCTTTTTGAACTATCGTCTCAACGGCCTCGGTCCCATTCTTAGACCGCCTCTCTGGCTCCTTGCCATTGCCGGATGTGCTGCTCGTGGCTTGGTCGGATGCGCTGCTTGTGTCCCGGCCGGATGCCTTCGCCTTGCCCTTGCCCTCGATTGATCTTGGCGGCCTTCTTCTCATCCTTGCTGTTGAGGCCAAAGACGCGATTGCGGTTGCGATCTTGGGTCTTGGTGACCTTGCTGGTGGTGACCGAGTTGGAGGACGGCGCGGTGCTTGAGTCGACTTGTGGCTCGCACGGCGCCATGGACGGTCGGGGCAGTGGCGTGGATGATCGAGTCTTTCATTTTGGGGTTGAAAGTGTTGCGATGGGTGTCCTGTATGTGGTCGCTGCGGCTATCGCGCGTTCCGAAGTGGTAGAGAGATTATGAGACCTCGGGCCAGAGATGTAATGTCTTCTTCAACGGCCCGAATTCCAGTTCAATCGTGAGATAGCAGCAGCCATGTAGTCGGCAGCCCATATCATAGAGGTATGTTTCGGCACGGTCGAAGTGCTCGGCGGGCAGCTCCCTCCATTCTTTGAACTTCCAGATGGCGCAGAGTTCTTTGATCTGGGCGTACGATGGTGATTTAGGCGTCGGGCGCGGTGGTGGTGGGTCGCGAATTCGGCGCCCGCGAGTACCGTCCGCTCGGATGTGGTGTGTTGGTCGAGGAGGCGTAGCGCCGGTGCTGGTCTGCGTTGGAGTCGACATAGTGGGTCTTTGTGGAAGCGACACAAGAAAAGGCGGATGTTTGGGTTTGGTTGGCAACTTGTTCTGAAGTGCTGTTGTAATCCGCAAGTTTCAGTATTGCATGGGGGTCGCTATGTGTACATGAAGATCTGCTGGGTAGGAGGTTTCCGTGGTTGGGTATGATTCTAGCGCGTCACGCTACCCTGGTTCCGCTACGACGCATAGGGCGAATGAGCCAGTCACAACCTTTGCGATCCCAACGAGATCCATATCTGAAGACCCTCCCATATCAAAGTCGTCGAAAAAAAAGACAAGCACGAGGGGCGCCGTCTATCGCACCTGGACTTGCGCACGCGGCATGCGTTGCATGCGGGAGCAACGCGGCGACTGTTGATGGTCGATGCGGCCGTGTCCGCGGCTGACTCTGAATCCGGCGTGGCCATGGTGCTGGTGAGAGAGACAGCATGGTAGGGAGCGTCTGGACATGCCGCTTTATTATGCACAGACGGGATATCACGTGCCCGGTTATTCCCGTCGTCTGGGGCGTGATAGCGTCTACCTAGTGCCAGGTAACCCGGGGTAAACGCGGCACACCACCTGCATTCAGCCACGCCTCGAGCCAACGGTGCTATCACGTATCACGACACCGCCCAGGTGATGAATTCCTCGATACCTAGGTACAATCAGCGGCCCACCTACTGCATGCTTGCATCGCCTGTCCATCGCTCTCCACGATCGCGCGTCATCGTTGCGCTAAAGGCGTAGCACAAGCACCATCCTGTACACCATGGCCAGAAACATGAACAGCGACTTTCACGTTGCCATTGTCGGTATGCATGTCTGCAAACTAACCCACCTTGTATCCCATGTCACTAACAGTCCCCCTAGGCGCGGGCATCGGTGGCCTCGCCCTGGCCATGGCGCTGCACAAGAAATGTGTTCCCTTCACCCTCTACGAGGACGCCAAGGAGTTTTCAGCTGTAGGGTATGTCCTTATCACCATGCCTCCCACCTAGGCTTCCTTTGCTTACCTGATCAAAGTGCTGGTATCGGCTTTGCGCCAAATGGCATGCGAGCCATGGATCTGATTGAGCCTGGATTCCGTCCCTTGTATGAGAAGATTTGCGTAGGGAACAAGGGTGCTGACAAACAAGACATCTTTTTTGAGGGCATGCTTCTTAGTGAGGGGTCGGGTATGGATATTTCCTGTGCTACGTCACTTCTCGATGTGTCCATTGCTAACGTGCTATTGCAGGCAAAGAGCAAGCGTGGTATGGCAAGTCGGCTTGGGGCCATCCTGATTTCGAGCGCAAGTCTGTATGTGCTACAACCCATCGCCATTAACACGAGTATTGCTAATCGGCACCAGGCGCATCGCAAGACACTGCTTGACATCATGACCAGCTTCATTCCACGACAAAATGTCAAGTTTAACAAGCGCCTCGTCAACATTGAACAGCTGCCATCCAAGCTTGTCCTTACCTTTGCCGATGGAGAAGTCGCAGAAGCGAGCATTCTTGCTGGCGCTGACGGCATCAAGAGCACAGTCCGCGAGCATGTCCTGAAGCCGCAATTTCCGGACCAAGTAGCGCCAGTCTACGCTGATGCGTATTGCTACCGTGCTGTCATTCCAATGGCTGATGCCGAAGCTGTTCTGGGCGATCTGACCGACGTAGCCAAATTCTACTTTGGCCACAAGCGCTGCGCAGTAACTTACCGTATATCAGAGGGAAAGGTAAGTCAGTATCCATGTCCAAGACCAAAGAACTGTCTCCGTACTCATCGCCATGTCTTGCAGGAGTTCAACTACCTTTTGTGTGTCACAGATGAGCAAGGCTGGGACCTGGACAACGCTGTTACAGAGAAGGTCTCACATGAAGCCATGATGGCCGATTTCGAGGGCCCAGGCGTCGATGACCGCTTCCGCCAACTTTTGGCCAAGGCAAGCCCAATCCGATGGGGCTTCTTCCACCACTTGAGGACCTCGACATATTACAGAGGCCGTGTGGCTCTTCTAGGTGATAGCGCACATGCGTCGCTACCATTTCAGGCAGCGGGCGCTGCTCAAGGCGTCGAGGACGCTCTGGTCCTTTCGAATATATTATCAGAGCTTGTCAAATCATCGAAACAAGAAGCAGATAGCGACGCAAATATCGTTGCTGGTCTCAGCGCGTACGACTCGGTACGAAGGCCACGCGCCCAGAAGCAGCTGGAGCAGGCAGCTGAGGTTGCCCGTATGCTATTCTTCCAACACGAAGAAGTAGGGGACGACATGAGCAAAATCTTGCCTCGCCTTCAGCAAGGTCGGTTTGATTGGCTTTGGTTTCACGACGTGCAGGGTGACGTAGACGAAGCCTTGTCGAGAATGCCAAAGCGGGAGTAGCCGCGTTAAACCCGCTTGTTCCGCGATGCGCTAGCCCGATAACAAGCCCAGCAGTAAGTGCGGGGCAACACGGGTAACACTGACAGCTGGTAATGGGCGTGCTGGACTCTGCGACTAGAATCTACACACAGGGTGCATCTCCGGCTTCTGGTTACGAAATTGGTCAAATGACAGGCGCCTGAACTCACTGCTGGCATTTTACTCCAACCCAAGCCAACACTCGCCATCCTCGGTCAACCCACGGCCCTCTACAATATGTCAGACACTTCAGTACCCTCTCGTCTGACGCAGCTACCACTAGGTGACGAGGCGCCACGATACACTGCTTCCGAACTACACTCCTACTTCCAGCGCATCCGTCTCCCCCAGAAATATCTGAACACACCTCTACTATCAGACAAAACGCTAGCCACAACCAAACAACACGGCCTCCCATTCCTGCAAGCTCTAACCAGACACCACACCAGTCACATCCCCTTCGAGAACCTCGAGCTCCACTACTCCACCCACAAAACCGTCACACTCAACCCACGCGACCTATACACCAAGATAGTAACCCAGCGCCGCGGCGGCCGCTGCATGGAAAACAACACCTTCTTCGCCACCGTTCTGCGCTCGCTGGGCTTTCATGTGCGCAATTGTGGCGGCCGCGTGTCGCGCGCCATGAGCCCCTACCCAGAAGTGCGTCGGCAGCAAGCGTCCACATACGATGGATGGAATCACATGCTGAATCTCGTGGGATTCGATGCGGGCTGGTACGTGGCAGACGTTGGCATGGGGGCCATGGGCCCCAATCTCCCGTATCCCTTGCAAGATGGATTCGAAACGACGAGCATTGCTCCCCGACTCATCCGCGTCCAACGACGCGCTATTGCAGAGTCGTATGGAACCCACTCCAACGAAATGTGGTGTTACGACGTTTGCTATAACCCGAGCGACGAGGGTGACGATAAGTGGACGCCGGTTTATTGCTTTACGGAGACGGAATTCCTTCCTCAGGATTACGAGATCATGTCGTGGTTCACATCTACGAATCCGACATCCTTCTTCACCAAATATGTCACCAGTACTAAAATGCTCATGGACGATACCAGAGAGAGGATTGTGGGGAGTGTGACGCTTTTTGAAGGCGGGGTTAAGCAGAGTATTGGGCTTGATCGCGAGATTGTACGGGATTGTAAGACGGAGGAGGAGCGGATTGCTGCGCTGAAAGAGATTTTCGGGATAGAGCTGACGGAAGAGGAGAGAAAGGGGATTCTACAAGACTTGAGATTGGGTTAGATTAGTCGATGTAATAGCTCTTTTCCTTCTATCAGCCTCTCTAGATTCTCTGCTGTCTCTTCATACCACGTCGTCAAAGTACCTTCTTCAACGTACCCCATATGTGGCGTGAGTAACACCCTGCTCTTGCCTTTGACATCCCAGTCTTCGCTACGCCATGGGCTGTCAGCTGGAAGGGGCTCGATGTCGAACACGTCGAGAGCAGCGCCACGTATGCGTCCCTGTCGGAGCGTGTCCAGCAACGCAGCTTCGTCGACAAGCGGGCCTCGCGAAGTGTTGATCAGGAGGCCGGTTGGTTTCATCCACCCCAACTCCTGTGCGCCGATGATACCGCGTGAGCGTTCGCTGAGGACGTAGTGCAGACTTACTACATCGGAAGATGTGAAGAGCTGTTGTTTGGTGACGACTTTGAATGTCTTCTCGTTTGCGTCGGTCATGCCTCCGCCTGTCACAGGCAGCCCGCACTCTTTGGCGAGCTTGTCGGCTTTGTCTTGCGTCAAGTTCGCACTCCAACATACCACCTTCATGCCGAAAGCTAGAACGCCAACTCTTGCGACATGCGCTCCAATTCTTCCCAGGCCGACTAAGCCCAATGTCTTCCCTTGCAACCCCATCGCGAGCTCAGTTTGCCATCCAGCCGGAACACCCTTGCCCTTAACAACAGCATCATCCGCAGCGACGTTCCGTGCAAGCCCCAATATAAGCGCCCAAACATGCTGTGTCGTCGGATGCCCACCCCCCTGCTTGACCGGCAGCGACCGCGGAGACGTACCACTACCCTTCCCATCCGTCCTGCCCTTGCCAGGCGCGGCGCACACCGTGATGCCCATATCCTTCATTGTATCCAGATCCCAACTCTGGAAGTTGCCGCCCGTCGCGAATATAACCTTCAGATTTGGCAGTTGGCGCAGCAATTCGCCTGGAAACGGGGTGCGTTCGCGCATGGTGGAAAGAGCGGAGAAGGGTTTGAGGCGGTCGACGAGGGCTTTGCGGTCGGCATCGGATGTTTTCGGGTGCGCGTATGACGGTAGGGTGTCGGTGAATACGGTTGTCTCGACTTTTGAAGGGTCGATGTGGGCGAAGTGCTGGGCTGCTATGTTATGGTAGTCATCGAGGACGGCGAGCTTGATGGGGAGGGAGGCCATGGTGCGTCTAGAGAAGTGTGAAGAAGAACGGGTCAAGAATTGGAGATGGCGGGATAAAGAGAGACGTTGGAGGAGCATGGCGCTGTGGTTATATGATGCATCACCGCGTACCGCAGGTAGCTATCTCGGCACTTGTGTCGGAATGAACTGAGGGGTTCATTGGTGCCTGAGTCAATTTATACTGCTTACTGGGATTCATCGGAAAAGCTCGATTGGAGCTGCTACTTTGCCGGTGACACCGAATCATGTTGGTTTTCATTGCGCGGAGGAAATGCGCGGCTCTATTGTGGCGCGTAGACGACGGAAATGGTGTTGGATATTCGGATAACGCTGCGTGACGTGCCGTGCTAGCTTACTAAGCCGACCTCGGGAGGAGCTCGGCTTCGGCGCGCGGCTTCCTCGTCACTCCATCCTCCATCACCTCTTCAACGCGCAGAACCTTCGAATCACGTCATGGGAAACAATACTGAACCACGCGCTACATCAAGCTCTCAGACTATGTGTGATACGTTCCGGCTACTACTGCGAAGAACGCCACCGTTACTGTGACGAGCTTGCACTTTACGAGGCATTGACATTCCACCAGCACATGAAGTATGCGCTTGACATGGGCGGCGAATAGTATAGCCACCATTCGCGCAATACTGCTTTGCATCTTCACAGCTGTGTTTGTTCACTCGTTTTATTCCATTGACTTCATTCCAGGGGGCCGCGTGCTTCAAGATAAGTACATATCACCAAAGCTCATGCTCGTCAATGACAATGCATCAATACCGAACCTGGTGCACTAATTGCATCTGTGTTTCCTTTTCTTCTGTTCTTTCTGCATACTACCGCAGCGCGGCATCAACATGAAACTCCTTGTCAGCATACTGACCTTATCCCTGGGCACGCATGCTCTGGCTTTCGATTTCGCTCTAGCAGCTCCTATCAAACGCGGCGCGCGTGCGACACCTACCATAACCAAGACGATCTACCACACGGAAGTGCGGAGACTATCTACAAGCTTCAAGGACCACCATGTTAGGAGCGAAAGCCTGGGGTTTTACTCCTCTGCATCTATCTCTGATGAGGTCTCCGAGGCTATTAACGGGGACACCGCGACATCTATGGCAACAGCATTCCTTTGGCCGAGGGGAGCAAGTGGACAGAAGCCTACGATTTCGCAACTACCGGTCACTGGCCTACCTGTGAGTTTCAACGCGAGGCAAGTCGGCTTCGTACATTTCGACGATGACACCAAACGCGACGAGACCCTTCATCCCGGACCAAACATCGTGAATAGAAGGAACACAGGCCTCTACCATATCAAGATCGACCTCGCATCTGAAGGCTATATTTCAGTGTTCATGTCCAACAGCACAGCCTCCGCGTTCTGCAAAAGCGAGGTAGAGCTGGACTCGGAGGGTGGGCCAAAAGGAGAGCTACAATTGGCTGTTCGAAATTCCACAAAGGTCGTGGCTATACCTGTTCACCAAGAAGCAGCGGATAGCTTCTGTCTCCACTTCAAGAACGCGGAGGGTGTCGACAGTCCATCGAGTGGCAAAGTTCCTGGGAGCTCAACAGCAATAGCTTCGGTATCAGAGGGCAAGATGTCGAAGGTTACCCCCAGCGAGACAACGTCGGAGAGTGTGTCGAAGTCATCCAAGCACGCGTCTACGGTAGTTACTGCTTCGGAGACTGACACTGATGACTCGGCATCAGCAACATCCGCGACCTCGACCGGCAAGACCACATCTTTGAACACATTCGATATTACTCATGAAATAGATACTTCGAAGTCTACGAAGCATGTGCCTCCGGAGGCAACAGTCTCCGAGCCAGGATCTGTTATTTCCGAAACGGCAGAGAGCACGAGTAAGGCCACACCTAAGGCCTCGGACACGGAAGACACGATCAGTGACTATGAGACAACGAAGTCTTCTAAGCACAAGTCCACGTCAGCAACAGCTTCGGACAGTGACTTGGCCACTTCAGAATCGGCGCCCGATGTATCCAGCAAGCACAAGACCAAATCCACAGCGAGCGGAGCCGACGAAAATTCGTCAAAGACGGCCGAAGCTTCAGGTACACCAACGGTGTCAAAAGCTGCGAACGCCGACCCTTCTGCACCCGAAGAGAGCGCCCCACATTCGACTAAGGCAAAGTCAAAGATTCCTGAGGCTACCGAGACTGAGGAAATGCCCGAATCTGCAACATCGGTCCAGGAGTATCGGGGTCCAGCTGTAGACCCTGCAAACCCTGCTGACCTAGACACATCCACGACGCCCAAGGCCACACCAGCCGCTGTTCCTGTGAGCACAACTACGGACGAGCCGTTCACTGAAGCAAGCATCAACTCGTTTTACTCGTATATCAAGAGCTTTGTAGAGACTGCTCCAGACGTAGCCTCAATCGCAGGCAGTACTGATCAGGCTTCGATCAAGACTACCGACTCTGAGAACGGGGCGTTGCGACGTGGAATACTAATAGCGCCAACGCCGGCTTTGATAGGTGTCAGGGCTAACACTGATCCTCACTCGACGTATAACAGTATGACATATACCTCCGACTATAGCTGGAAGGGTGCCGTCTCTACTGCTATAGCTTCCACTACGGCATCGAGTAACGCGGCGATCGGGAGACTGAAACCACCTTCCCTACTCTGGCGCATGTGGTACCCCGCGACTACCACCAAAATCATTCATTCGAGAAGCTTCAGTGGGCCTGGTGAAGAGCCTGAGCAGGAAGACGAGGGGTTTTTCAATATCGATGTAGAAGATGATGGGCCTACGAGAGTCAGTACTGGTACTGATGGAGTGGAAGAGGAGACAGCTGTTGCTACGAAGTTTGCGCATAAGCAGGAGGATAAGGATGGGGATGATGAAGGTATTGATGTGAAGGATGGAGACGAGGAAGAGGAAGACGGGCTACCGGTTGATGGAGAGATAGTACCTGACGAAGGAGCTGAAACTGATGAAGGAGCGGCTGGAGATGACGAGACGCTCACGTCTACGAAGAGCAAGGCGTCACATATCAAGACTGCAGCGGATGAGGAAGATGACAGCGCGCCAGCCACCGACACATCTATGGACGTTCAAGAGAAGGTCACATCGACCAAGAAGAAACTTACAGATGGAGGTAATGACACCAACCCGACTGCCACCGCATCCGAAGACGTCGAAGAAAAGGCGACATCCACCAAAACGAAACCTGCAGATGAGGATGATGACGCCGAACCAACTGCCATCGCGTCCGAAGACGTCGAAGAGAAGGCCACATCCACTAAGCTGAAACCCGCGGAAGATGAGGACGAAGCCACACCAACTTTCACTTCATCCAAAGATGTCAAGGAAAAGGCAACGTCTACAAAGACAAAACATGCAAACGACGACGAGGAAGCTACAGCTACTTCCAAAGCAACCGATGACGCCCCGCCTGAGGATGACGATGAAGAAGAGTCCCAAGACGACACATCTGCTGATGACACCACCACAAGCACCTCCCACAAGTCCAAATCCACCAAATCCGCAACCTCCAACTCCGATGATGACGCTGAGGAAAAACCAACTGCGACCTCCACCTCCAAGTCCAAATCCACTCACAAATCCAAAACCCCAATCCCCTCCCTCGCTTCAGGCGTCTCCTTCGCCTTCCCCTCCAGCACGTCTCCAAACCCCAACCCAAACGCCGGAGCTATACCCACACCACCCCCAATCCCAACAGGCACCGCAGCGTCCCTCCCCATACCAACACAACCCATAATCTGGGACCCAGACTGTCCTCAGATTTCCACATCCACTCTAACCGCGCCCAACGGCGTTACCACAACACTTCCGATGACCGTAGGACTGGGGTGTTGGCGCACGTTGCCACAGGCTGGCAGTGGAGGGAGTGGGAGTGGAGGGGAAGGTGGATTTGGAGGGAACGAGACGATGACAGGAGGCGCGAATGGGCATATGATCAAGAGTAAAGCGTGGAATATCCTGAGTGACAGGCAGAACGTGAAGTTGGGCGTGGTGTGTTGGTTGGTCATTGGGGGAATTTTTTTCCAGTGAGTCAACACCCCAAATTTTCTCTTTGATATCACGCTACGAGGTGCTGACCTATGCTATCGCTGCTCAGGTGGTTTGTAGGCCAACTACAGTTTGTACGCGGGGAATGGCATCTCGGCCGGACGTTCGTGTGGTACATCCTCGGTATCGAGCTGCTGGGTATAGGAAGGAGGTTAGTAGAACGAGCCGAGGAAGCGCAGAGGACATGGGAGAAAGCGGAGAGGGAGAGGGAGAGGATTGAGAGGTTGGCTAGGTTGGGTGGGTAATACTGAATTTGGTATTTGAGTTGTTTGGGGGTGGTTGAGGAAGGGGCGGGTGGGCTGAGGGGATGGCTGTTGCGTTAGGGACAAGACGCTCACGGTGGTTTTGTGATGGTGCGATGCGATGCGAGTTGTGTTATTTTATACGTATATACAAAGTTCTACACCATAATCAATCTATACCTGGGTATCATATGCAAACTATCCTCAGACTCCGAACAACGCCCCTCCCCCTCAAGCGAAATTGCCCTATCCTTCCCTTTCTTATCAGCCAGCCCTTACACCAACTCTCCTACCCAGCCCTAACAGATGCAATCGTTTGTTCCTCACATTCTCGGAACAAAAGCAACAAACGACTGCATCTACTCATACTGAGCAGCAGTGTTGGAAGAGATGTCGATTGTTACTCTCGCCAACGAAATCCTCTTCTCTCTTCACCGCAGGCCCTCACCCTAACTCTCATACCCAGCTCAAGTAAATGCGCCAATTCCCCCATACCCCCTCCGAAGTAGCGTGACATTGTCAAGAGAAACATTTACTTGGCAATGCCACGCTACTTCCCAGAACGTATGGAACGAGCGACCGTGTTTACTCAAGCTGAGCAGCAGCGTTGGAAGTGGCACCAACTGTTGGTCTCGTCAACAAGATCTTCTCTTTCCTTTGCCCTAACCTCCCACACCGACTCTCCTACGCAGCCCGAGTATATCCACCAGTTACCAGTTCCCCCATACTCCCTCGGAAGTAACGGGGGGTTTTTCAAGTGAATAATTCAGGTCAAAACCCCCCATTACTTCCCAGAACGTATAAAACAAAGAAGCGGCGAAGGAATGACCGATTGATCTAGTCTCCCCCACCGCCCCTCCACTAGGGTGGGTGGGGGAGGCGGAGGGGAGGCGGAGGGGCGGTGGTGGAGGTAACGTCTTTCGCTTCCTCTTCGTGTCAGTTTCCTAGATGCCACTCTCGAGGTTTGAATGACATGTACGCGATACGGTGGTGGAATCTCCTATGTAAGACAAGGCGAGTTTCCTTTAAGATGATCTGAGGTCACTCGTCTTGTCCCACATAGGAGGTATGACCACCATATCGCGTACACCCCATCCAAACACCCGAGCGGAGATTGATGCAGGCTGTTGACTCCTTCTCTTGCGTTTCTCGCACAACTCGCCACGTACCACCCAACCAACGTCTGCCAAGCTCTTCAAGTAAGCAAAATCCTCGCATCTTCATGCATAATCATAACCTCCTCATTCTCAAAACTATACTTCCGCCTCACAATTTCAAACACAATAAGCCCCGCCGCGGTACTGGGAACCTGCTTAATCGTGCTCATGAAGAAGTCTCTATAGAGATACTTCCTCCACCCGCCCGCCCTTTTCGCTAAAACCTTGCACTGAGCAAACGTTTCTTCGTAGGCGTGGTAGTAGCGGCGAACAATATGACTAGGCTTGTTGTTTTGGTGGGCCTGGAAGTCCAGGGCTTCCAAACGCCGGTAATGGACGTCTTGGATTTCGGTCAAGGGGTGCTGGATGAGTTGGGAGGTGATGGATGCGGAGACGCCGGCGAGGAGGAGGAACATGGGTTCGAGCATGTAGTGGGGTCGGATAACGGGGCGGTCGTCGTGGTCTTCTTGGAGGTAGGGAATTGATTTCTCGAGGAGGGTGTCGCGCGTTCGACTTCCGTAGTAGCGGCTCACGAACTCGAGATAAGCCTGGCTCTTCACTGTTTCGAAGGTGCCGAAGAAGACGGCGGCGCCGAATGCGTCTTTCATGAATGAGAGAGACCACCCCGCGAAGATGCCTTGGACGCCGATGGAGCGCAGTTTGTGTCCGGCATAATGCCACATTGTTTTGTGGCGGCCTTCGAGGATGTCGGCGGTGCGGAATCGGGTTTGCAGGGCGTCGAAGGGGGCCGCGATGACGGATTGGCATGAGCCGCCGATGAAGCCTGCGGCAAAGGTTATAGATGGGGGAGGGGGAGGGTAGACGCGTTTGGTCTGGTAGGACGAGGGTTCGTGGAGGGCGGAGAGGGAGTGCAGGTAGGCTGTGTAGAGGACGGCGCCGATACTATCTCGATATTAGTACGAATGTTATTATGTGGGAGAGAGGCTGCATACCAAGTATTTGCCATCAGCGGTGGCAGCACCTGCTTCGGAATAAACCCCCATCCCTCAGTCCGTATCGCATGCGCCAGGACCGCGGGCGTAGTCATCCTCCACGACCACTTCGCATCCGCAACAATATGTGGATTTATCGCCCTCGCATAGCTCATGTAGTCGATTCTCCCCCTGAAAAAGGCTTTGACTGGTGCTCGGAAGTAGAAGGCGACCATCCTCGCAGCCACGGCGCGCATACCAGCGGCCTGCACACCCGTCGCTGGTGCCTTGTTGGGGGCCTGCGGTGCGTCGGGCGTAGTTGTCGTGGTGTCATTGGAGGCATCGCTTCGGAGAGAGACTCCAGCGCGAGGACTGGAGCCGGTCGTCATCGCATAGTGTTGGTGGTTGTGGAGGTTTGCAGACGCATGGGTGGGGTGGTGAGGGTTTTGAGGTGGATGAGGCAGCCGCGTGGGATGGTCACAAGATGGGAGTGACTTTGGACGTGACCAAAATGTGGGAGTCTACAACAACAAAAGATGACCAAAGTATGTACAAGAAGAGAACGTGACGTGGAAGAATGTTGCCTAGGAAGATGTGGGGTTTATCAATGCCAGCTGTAGGGAACTTTGCTAGGTGAGGTTGGCGCTAGTATGATTGTGGAGTTGAGAGGCGCACGGGCCCCCAGCGCGTACCTCGCGTCGCATCATCCTTTCGCGACTTTCTCATCGCTGCCTTCTCTCTCCCACCTTCTCCCTCGCAGCTACGCCAAACCGCCTGGAGGATATCTTCAGCGCATCCTCAACCATGGCGGAGAACGACATTGTCATCGACAAGGCGCTATTCCACGAGCGCCTCAACGCCCTCGTCACCAAGTGGAAGGCCGACAAGCGCTCAGGCGACGCTATTTTCCAGGGCGCAAGCTCTATCGCGACCCTTGTGGGCAAGGCGAGCGAGCCAGGCATCTATTTGAAGCCGGCAGCGTTCCAGGTAAGATTGCGCATATCGACATGTGATGAACGGACAGTGAGCTGATGAGACCCAAGCTATGGCTGCTAGGCTACGAGTTTCCCGCGACGCTCTTCATCCTGACCCCCGACCTGCTCCAGATTGTCACTACCAAGAAAAAGGGTGAGTCTGCGGCCACTACTTGAGTTTGAGCACATTCACTAATGAGGATAGCTTCCTACCTCGAACCGCTCAAAGGTGGCAAGGTGCCGGTTGAGATTCTCGTCCGCGGCAAAGACGCCGAGGAGAACAAGAAGCAGTTCCAGACATGTCTCGAGACGATGAAGAAGGCGGGCAAGAAGGTGGCGGTGCTGAAGAAGGACAACGCCAACAACGCCTTTGCGAACGAATGGAAGGCGGCCTTCGACGAGGCTGGCTTCAAGGAGGAGGACCAGGTCGATCTGGCCTCCATCATGTCCAACGCCGCCTTGTCCGTCAAGGATGAGAAGGAGCTGGTAAGTCTGACCTCACAACTCCGCACTGGCATTATTGACCTTTTAGCGAACCATCCGCGACGCCGCCCGCGCCTCGAGCGCCCTCATGTCCAACTACTTCGTCGAAGAAATGTCCGACATCCTCGATTCCGAGAAGAAAATCTCCCACCGCGCCCTCGCCGACAAGGTCTCCAACAAGATCGACGACGCCAAGTTCTTTGAGAAGCAGAAGCTTTCCAAGACATTCGACTCGATGCAGCTCGACTGGTGCCTCCAGCCTACGATTCAGAGTGGCGGCTCATACGACCTCAAGTTCGCGGCCGAACCCGACGAGAACAACCTGCACGCGGGCGTCATCATCTCCGTCCTCGGTCTGCGCTACCAGACATACGGCGCCATGATCGGCCGCACATTCATGGTCGGGCCCAACAAGGAGCAGGAGACTGCCTACAAGCTTCTTCTGGCGATTCACGACCTGGTCATCAAGTCGATCAAGGACGGCGTTGTGGCCAAGGACGTGTACAACAAGGCGCTCGCGCATCTCAAGTCGAAGAAGCCCGAGTGGGAGAAGCACTTCCCCAAGAACCTCGGTTACGGTATCGGTACCGAGAACAAGGACTCTTCGCTGCTCCTGAGCGGCAAGAACACTCGTGTCCTGAAGGACGGCATGACCTTGGTAGTTCAGACTGGTTTGTCAGACCTGGAGAACAGCAAGCCGCAAGACAAGAAGAGCAAGAACTACTCGCTCGTCTTGGTAGACACCGTCCGTGTCAGCGCCGGCGACTGCGCAGTCTTCACCAAGGACACCACCTCAGATCTGGACGCTGTCTCGTTCTTCTTCGACGACGAAGAGGAGGAGGCCAAGCCCAAGGTCAAGAAGGAGCGCCCAGCTATCGCCCAGACGAACATCACCAAGACCCGCACACGCCATGAGCGAACAACAAACCAAGACGCCGAGAAGGAGGAGCAACGGCGACAGCATCAAAGAGAGCTGCACGCCAAGAAGCAGGAGCAGGGTCTTGCCGAGTACAGCGAGGGCGCAAAGTCGCTGAACGGCACTGAAGAGAAGAAGTTTAAGAAATTCGAATCTTATAAGCGCGACAACCAGTTCCCCAGCTCAGTCGCCAACTTGGAGATCGTAGTCGACAAGAAGAACCTCACAGTCCTTCTTCCGATCATGGGCCGACCCGTTCCCTTCCACATTCACACCATCAAGAACGCATCGCATACGCCCGAGGCGGACTTCACATCTCTCCGTATCAACTTCCTCTCACCAGGTCAGGGTGTTGGCCGAAAAGACGACCAGCCATTCGAGGACCCCAACGCACACTTCATTCGTAGTCTGACCTTCAAGTCGCACGATGTCGACCGGATTGACCAGATCACCAAAGACATCACAGAGCTGAAGAAGGACGTCGTGCGAAGGGAGACTGAGAAGAAGCAGATGGAGGATGTTGTAGAGCAAGACAAGCTTATCCCGCTTAAGACTCGCAAGCCGCACATGCTCGACCTCATCTTCATCCGCCCCGCGCTCGACGGCAAGCGGATTCCCGGAAGTGTCGAGATTCACCAGAACGGTCTGCGATACGTCCACGGCAACGGCACAGCCAAGATCGACGTCCTCTTCAGCAACATGAAGCACCTCTTCTTCCAACCCTCACAACACGAGCTCATCGTCATCATCCACGTCCACCTCAAGAACCCAATAATGCTGGGCAAAAAGAAGACCAAGGACGTCCAATTCGTCCGCGAAGCCACAGAAATGCAATTCGACGAGACAGGCAACCGCAAGCGGCGCCACAAGTTCGGCGACGAAGAAGAATTCGAGCAAGAACAAGAAGAGCGCCGCCGCCGCGCAGCTCTCGACAAGGAATTCAAGAACTTTGCCGAGAAGATCGCCGACGCCGCCCGCAACGAGAACGTCAGCGTCGACATCCCTTACCGCGAGTTGGGTTTCAACGGCGTCCCATCCCGCTCCTCCGTCCTCGTTCAACCCACCACCGACTGCCTCGTCCAACTCACCGAACCCCCCTTCACCTGCCTCACCCTGTCTGAGATCGAAATCGTCCATCTAGAACGTGTGCAGTTTGGTTTGAGGAACTTCGATATGGTGGTTGTGTTTAAGGACTACAACCGGCCACCCGTCCACATCAACACCATTCCCGTCGAGTCCCTCGATCCCGTCAAGGATTGGTTGGATTCTGTCGATATCCCGTTCACAGAGGGTCCCTTAAACCTCAACTGGGCCACCATTATGAAGACCGTAACCTCAGACCCCCACCAGTTCTTCGCGGATGGCGGATGGAGTTTCCTATCCAACGAAACCGACGACGAAGGCGACGGCGAGGAGGAAGAGGAGTCGGCGTTTGAGGTCAGTGAGTCGGAGTTGGCTATCTCGGATGAGTCCTCCGACGAATCGGACTTTGATGAGAACGCTTCCGAGGAGATGTCAGATGAGGGTTCAGAAGACGAATTTAGTGAAGGCGAATCTTGGGATGAACTCGACAAGAAGGCGGCGAAGAAGGATAAAGAGGCTGCAGCGGATGCGAGTGAGGATGAGGGCAAGAAGAAGAGGAAGCGCTAGTATGCTATCTTTAGTCGCGGGGATGAGGGGACGCGTCCGGACCACATTGGCTTTGACGCGTGTTTCGACAAGTTTTATCAGAGGATTCTGGCGATGGATGCTCAAAAGATGTGAGCGCGGAAGTGGAAATTGGGGGTTTGTGTAAGATTAACTGCGTGGAAGGCGCGGTGATTGGGTTCAAACATGGCTACCGAACCGGGATTTCTGGGTTGAGAACTCCAATTAGAAGCTGGAAGGGTTCTTTCCATTGCATTGCGAATGCAGTTTTAATTTGAAGCATGCGACACAATTCCTCCCATGTGTTCTCATATTTTGTTCGTCTTTTATGTACGTTGCTACGAAAAGTGTGCTAATGACAAGAAGCAAGGTTGGAGAAGACGCGGTGGTGTTTCTAGTGTAAAGCTAAGCTGTTTGAGGCTGATGGATGGGGCTAGAAGACGCTTCGATCGATAACAGTCCCCGGATCAACGCTTCCATCGTCGATGGGCTCGCTGCGTTCAAGTTCCGAAGCCTCCGCCGATTTCCCTTTGCCCTGCTCTGCTTCCGCTAGTGATGGCGATGACGGATCGCGGTCAACCTTGTGCAGATGGTTGTCCCAGATGTGCCTGGCGAGTTCTGTTGAACGAACAAAACGCGGACCGGGATTTGAAGACGTGCTAGACTTCGCACATTCGTAGCACTTTCCAGTATCAAACTGCCCTATTTGTCCTTGATGCGTGTGGCAGTGATGGAGAAACGAGGAATAGTTTTCCCAGACGGTCTCGCTCTGTTCACACTTCCCCATGTTGCCTGGACATCCGGATCGGGGACCAGGCTTACCAGATTCTTCCTGTTTTTTTAGACGACGTTTCCGAAATTCCGCGGTGAATAGACTGTGAGCAGTGTGAGGATCGCGCTTGAGGTCGTCGGTTGAAACTTCTCTGGGGGAGTTTACTCGTAGATCACTTGGGATACGATCCCGTTGACGTGCCAATTGATGTCGTTTCGACCGTTCCGGTAGGTCTTCCTCTGTTACAATGGGTGAGAGATGCGCTGAATCAAGCTCCGACCCCCCAGAATCTAGAGCGGTTGTGGAATGGTCTTCCGTCTTTTGGTCTTCCGTGTCTGATTCCGTGTCGATCGGATCAACACTTCTGATTGATGCGCGACCTGTCTCAGACCGAGCCTCCGGTTCCTGCGGTCCTTTGCCACCTTCTGACTGGTCTGCGATACCAGGGTTCTCTATCTTCGACTCAAGGTCTACATCGGTGAAATTCGAAGTCGAAGGAATCGGATCAGTAGAGTCTCGCCATGGACCAAATATCGAGAGTGGCAGTGGACTTTTCTCCTCTGTGTGTGCAGAGCCATCATTTTGCGGCACACCATATTGTACACCTTGGCGCTCATCAAGTCCTTGGTAACTGATTACTGGTTCTAAAGATTTTGTAGCCGCATCAGCCTTCGAGAATTCTAGTAGTTCCTCCTCTGGTGTCTGTATTGGGAAGCGAAGAGCTGCAAGTTGTCGTTCTTCTGACTTCCGAGTGCCGATTGGCTGGTCCTCTTCTGGCCCGGGACGAGCTAGGATCGATGATGAGCCCATGTCTTGCCGTGTAGCAGGTTTTGGCTGTAACCCTTCGAGTGCTTGGTCTTTTCCTGGCTGATCCGTCACGTCGCTGCTGTCTGTCCCCGGGTTCATATTGCCGCTAATCGAATCGGAGGGCTTGCCGCTAGTCAGAACGCGGAGTTCGCTATCGGCGGACCCCAAAGTTTCTGCTAGATGCGGTCTTTCTTCGACTGAAAGTGGTACTGGGGCTTTTTCCTTGGCGGCATTTCCCTGAGAATGTCCAGGCCACGTGTAGGCTGGGTGCTGGTCGAATGCCGGGGGCTCGAATGGGGGCTCGACTGGATTCTCGTTTCTCGGAACTGCAGCCTTTTCCTCCTTTCGCTCTTCCAGATATTGGGTGAACGCAGGAAAGAAAAGCTGCTTCACAGCATCTAGATGAAACGGCTGGCGGAATTTGAGTCGAAATGCTGGCTTGTGAGAGTGGCTTCGCCGTGGCTGAGACTCTAATTGATCTGGTTGAGGGCGCTGTGCTCGGCCGTCTTCTTGTAGGGGCGAATATGGCTGCGGCTTTGACAAGTTGGTGCTATCCGAAGATGGTCTGCTGTTAGCTGGGTGAGGTGATCCAGGGTAGGGTTGAGAGTATTGTTCAGGTTGACCAGCCGCTTCAAATCCCGAGGGTAAAGGCGGTGCTGGATGTTGCGGAGGGTCTTGTCTTCCTGAGCCATCACCTCCACTATCAGCACCTGGTTCTTTTCGAGGCTCTTTCTCATCCTGTTTCGAGGAGGTCGCGGCCGTATCTTCGTCTGGTTCGAAGCAACATCTCCACGGTGGCCATGTAAGCACCTCAAAGACCAAATCAGGGAATGACTTATCCTCAGAATCGATATAGAGGCTCTGGAAACTCCAGATAGCTCGAATTAGAGTAGCGAGCGAGACGACGATAGCGATGATCTGACCGATCGAATAGACGTTGGAGCTAGGTTGGAGGTCGTACTCTCGAATAGTAACCTCAGCGACTACCATGGACGTGAGCGAGTACAATGCGTACGTTGTATAAGATAGTAATATCGTCGCAGGGTATTGTTTGTACAGAGGACCATACTGTACAGTGGCCCTTTTAACCCCACGTTCTGTATCCTCGAATTCCAGAGCCAGAGCCTCAGCTGAGTCTGACTTTGGTTTGGTGTGATCGCTCCTCAATATTGGATCACGTCCGTTCTTCTCGGACTTGTGAAACGGCTGGGTATTGTACATAGAATGGAAGGATGACTGGACCCACATGATACAGCGAAGCGTGTAGTAGATCCAGAAGAGAGAAATCTCGTTACCAGAGAATGCATCACAGTCGCTTAGTCTAGACCACCAAAAGAGGTCGAGACACTGGCAGTCTTCCGATGCAAATCCTCCTTTGATGAACTTGGTAACCAGTACCGGCAGAAATACTAACCCCATGATCTGAGCTGGGATGAGAAGAAGCACTTGCCATCGAGCAGCTAGAGTCTGTTTGGCAGTGCTGGGGATGTGGAGAGCGACGTTTTGGGCATCCAAGATAACTGCGCCAATCGCAGCATCGACGGATGTCAATGTCCCTTTGTACATCTGCACAACGAGTGCTATTGTGAGGGCCACATGCGTGAGTATCAAGCCACCACCGACTTCTTTTATTCCGGTGTCTCGTTTGTGGAAGTGACCGTAAATACTGATCAGGAGCAGCATGCCGATTTGTAACCAAATGGAAACCCGTACACCGACGCCACTTATGTCGGCATCCAGATTGGTGCTACATGCGTTAACCGTGGATCGATATGTCTCGCTCATACCCGAGAATATAGCAGATGTTATGATCACACTGAGGACGGTAGAAAGTAGCGGTACGACGGATCGGCTTATGTCAGGTTTGTCGAGAAATCGCTTCGCTTTGCTGACCCAGGATGTGTCATTAGCGTTAGGTTGGTGCCTCCGTGGCTGCTTCTCGTAGTGCTCTGGCGAGATATACACTTTCTTTCTGAAGAACACTATGTCGCTCACAACGCAGATGATCTGGAAAGATAGCCTGATTATGTTTGTCAGCGATCAATCTGTCAACACCCTGACAAACCGTACAACAGGAGGAGCGCCACCAGCCGAGGTCCCCATGCAATCGCCATATAATTTTTCAGATGTCGAGATTCTGCTCCAAGTGTGCGTGATCAGGTTATGAAGCTGTGTGAGTGGTTTTGTATCGATGCTGCAGATGGCCAGAATGATGGCATCGTCAAACCACAGGACATTGACACTTTATCTGTAACGAGCGCTGAGAATCTCAGCTGAACACAGCTGGATGCGCATGCATGCCTGTCGAGAGATGCGGGGGATGCATATCGTGTACAGCATTTGTGGTGTTATTGGGCCAGACGGAGCCTGTCGCGCACCTGTCACCAGCCTGCCGCCTTTCGCCAGCAGGAGGCTTCGCGTGGACACCAATACCGGTCACCATGTTATTGCGACACGATGTGAGAGCGCAATCTGCACTCGATCGAGGCGAAGCGAGTGGTATGATGTCGTGACGGACGTGAGTTGAACGAAGTCGCGAGGACGCGTTGCATGGCTCAGCACACGATTCAGCTCCCTGCACGAGCTAAGATTGGAAGAGGCTAGACCATCGGGTCGTCGGTGTGCCAAGAGTCACGTGATCTGGCTGAAAAAGCACACTGCCGCGACGCATCTTATCCCCTACTTTTGTAGTTTACTACACAGACCCCAAGGAGTGACATGTTGCAGCATCGCTTACAGCATCGCCTAGAAAATTGCGCAGACGAAGGGAGACACTAGCACGCGAGGAGTCCAAAAGCTTGGCGCCCAAGTTTGAGGTCGCTCGACACCTCGGCCCTATCATCATCATCACCACTACAACTACCACGTCCCTCTCTCAGTACCGCCTCAACGTGCCGGCTCTACGATCGATTGAGGATTTATGTCTGTCAGCTTACGGCAGATTGGCGTTGTCGCATTGGCATGAAACGCCTTCGGTAGAATGCACAGCCTTCTAGCTTATCTACCACTCGTCAGCAGCAGTCCCTCGAGGCTGTGTGTAATACTCACCACAAGCCAAGCAATCGATCAGAGACAATGCAGCTCTTGGATTCGCAGGGTAATTGAACCCTTGTCGAACGCAATGTTACACCACAGCAATGCAGCCCGCACGTGCTCAGCCTTCAGTCTGACCTCTCAATATGAATACACCGGCTTGTAGACGGCTCGCCCCTCGCGTCACAGCACATATGCTGGCATCATCGGGACTGTTCAACTCGCTTTTCCGCCATGGCAGCTAGACAAAACAATCCACGGAAGAACAGCACTTCCGAGGTCGCATCCATTTCCGTTTTCAGCCACGGACGGCTCTCATTTGAGTCGCAAGTCAGTACCGACTTATCAATACTAGATTTCCCCTACCGCGATGACCCACTGCCTCTCGACTCAGGAGCTAGCACCGATAGCGCACGCAAGCTCGACAAAAGCATCACTCCAGGCTCTGTGCTTGCCGATGACCTGTCACAAGAAACGCACTTGCGAGCCCTCCAAGGCTGGCCAACGTCACCGCGGTCGGTCGAAATCTCTACCAGTTTACTGATCTGGTACATTGTTGTCGACATATCACTACTGGCGATGTCATTTACTTTCTTTGTTTTCGCCATCTTGGTCCTCTCATTCGATCAAAAGCCAACAAGCTCCCATCAACGAGCAGCTCGGAGATTCGAGCAGGCTTCGAATTGGGTGAGTCGAAAGCTTCCAGATCTCGCCATCAAGCTACTTACTGGATCCAGGGCCCGACGATCTATCCCATACTCTTTGCTTCGGTTGTCGGGCGAGCCACCCATGCTATTCTGCTTTGGAGATTTGAGAAAGGCGAACGTATTTCGACCCTAGACATACTAGCTGGCAGTACATCTCTCACTAGTACTGTTGCTTCACAATTCCACCTGCGGACGGTAAGCTACGTAGGTCTGGGCTTGGTCGCTATCTGGATGCTATCTCCTGTGGGTGGTCAGTCGTCTTTTAGACAGATAACTTTCGGTCCAAAACAGCACTCGGAGGGCGCAAGTTACACTTATGTCGTACCCGGACCTGGTATGTGGGCGCCTGACCAATTCACAACCGAGTCGATTTTGAACAGCTTCTACGTGGCCGCGCTCCTCAGCCCAGCTACCAAAGAAGCGTCTCCGCGTGATGCATGGGGCCATGTCAAGATCCCCAGAATCGAACACTATGAAAGCATGTCCAGTGCTGACAAAGACGGCTGGTATCCGACCGACAACGGCACGGGCGACTCTTATAGTTCATTCATTGGCGTGCCGATGAGTGGCTTAGACTCACCGGATTACGCCGACTACGCAGCTAAGATCGAGGCTATGTATTTCCATCCGAGATGTTCTGATGTTTCATTCCCGGACGACGAATACAATCACTCAAGTTGGATCGGGAATCTACACTGGACCGAGAACACCGTGGAACGATCCAGACGTTCCGCTGAGGAAATAAAGCCTTTCAGTTTCGTCTGGAAAACAAGAGCGGAGCCTCAGCCGGATTATAAACCATTCGTTTGTACTCTGGAAACGGCCTACGTCGAGGTCGAAGTCTCGTGTGCGTCACACACCACTTGCTCGGCATCGCATGTTCGACGATCTCTTCTCAAGCACCCGCCTGCTGCGTACACGCAATTAGGGCTGATTTACCGGGAGAACGAAACCATGTGGGAGAAAGCAATCGAGTCGTCTTCGGGGCTACTTTCTGAAGGTTACGTTCAAGACCCAACAGACCCGAGAAACCAATTACGGACATCGAAGGAAGAATCAACTGCCGAAGTAGCTGGAATACGAATCGGACAGATGCTCAACGCATACTGGGCAACTATGAATGGCAAAAGCGTTTTCACTGGCGCGTTCAACGAGCACACGACGTGGCTGGACCAATCCATCGCTTGGAAGTACCAGGACGGCAGCCAACTGATAAGCTCCACTGGGCCAAACATCTACATTTGTCCATTTGGAAAGACCTCAAATTGTAGCTTCCAGTCGCCCGGGGCGGGCCAATCGTCGACATGGAACTATGATCACTATAGTTTAGCAAGAACATGGGCTACGACGGGCACGAAACGCAGCAATGTGGAGGTCTTCCACGCCCACTACCAATGGGTCGTGGCGCTCATCATCTCTTCGACAATCCTCATCATGGCGAGCCTGGTTCCTTTTTTCGTCCGGACGAGGCTTTCGTGTGGCCCGGACATATTGATGAACTTCTCCAGCCTGGCGACTAGGGATAATCCTTACGTGGCTTTGCCGGCTACGGGGACGCATCTCGACGCAGCTGATCGATCGCGGTTCATGCGACATGTGCGCATTCGTTTTGGGGATGTGGAGGGAGAGAATGCGATCGGGAGGTTGGGGATTGGGCGGTTGGATGGCGATGTTGCGCCGCTGAGGAAGGGGAGGCAGTACGCGTAGAGAGCTCAGCAGGTGGCTTGGAAAGGGCGTTACGACACGGTAATGGTTGCATCATTCCGAGCTCATATCAACTCCAACGATTCGTAGTATGCACGAGCTAGCGATCATCTTCTGACCCGTACGCAAACCAATGCGTATTCTGTCAATCTCGAAACCGATTCATGAATAAAACTGCTATGGTACCAGAATCTCGTCATAGGATACAATTGATGCCATGCAACAACATGAACAAATGCATCTTCGCGAGGCCGACGCAAATGAGGAAATAAAAAGCGAAAAACAACCCTTTGGCCAAAAAGAGGAAATAATGTTTGACGAAGCTTCGTCACAGGGTAGGTTTGATTGGAAGATATGTCTGGCAAGCTCATGGCCATCTCCCGGATAGAGGACCAGAACGGTTTGTCAGGCCCGGTTCAGCTTCTGCGGACACTAAGGTGCAGTCCTATTTGTGTGTTACACTTGGCGCTGCTTCCGGTTCCGGAGGCTCGTACTCTAGCCGCCGTAGTATGATATCACGCTCTTCGGTGTGATCATCTTCGTGTGTCATGCAGCGACCCTTCGTCCTTTTGCATGAGTCACAAGGGCATTCCTCCTTTGAGCTCTCGACGGACGATATAGGTACTGTTCCTGGCTCTTGAACACCGGAAGTATGCGTTTCGCTTTGTTTGGATGTTCCAAATACACTCTCCACTGCTCTTCGTAGTACACCTCGACGGCCTTGAATGGATGGATTCAGTTCGGCTAGCGCCCAGCCAATCACGTTGCAACTCTTCTCATAGTCCCGACGATTGCCCTTATACTGATCTCTTGGAACCAGGGCCCGAGGATAGATGCAGTTATCAATCTTGAATCCATGAGGTAAACTCTCAACGTCAACTGTCTCGATGTCACGCCGGATGGTATATTCTGTTGCAACACCATCATGAGAGTATTCGAATGTCGCCCACTGTGCACTAGTCTGCTCTTGGTAAAGTCGCCCATGCCTGTGGAACGACTGCTTAATGTCTTCCATCCCTCCAGATTTACATCCTTCAGTGGGGGTTTTGGTGATTTTGCTATCTGATGGATCAGAAGACGATTCCCTGTTGTTCTGCTGGTGGTAACGTCGCCCAAGCCTCTGGAACGAAGCCTTAATGTTTTTCATCCCTCCAGATTTAGGTTCCTCAGTGGGGATTTTGGTATCTGATGGATCCGAAGACAATCCATTATCGTTGCCTTCTGCTTTCGAAGAAGACACGTCGCCTTCGTCAGACCGGGCAATGCTGCGGTCACTTGAGCCGTCTGTTGATTCATCATCAGAATCAACACCAGAAGGTAGTATGGCAAGAGCTATTTCTTCCATATGACGTGCAATATGGAGTGATAACACATCACGGTCCCTTGAAGTGAACTCGACACACAAGGGGCACGTCACTTCTGAGACTCGAGCATCCATGCCGTGCTGATCTTGTAGATGGTGCATCAGCCCATCGCCGTTCTCCCAAAAGACGCCTGTTCCGTGGCATTCGGGGAAGAAACAAGCGTATGCGAGTATATCATCAAACACATGCTTCCTAGAATGAAGCCATTAGCTTTGATGCAGCACAGGCAGTGTGGAAATAGTCAACTTACTTCCAAGCTTTGGTCCGTTGAAACCGCACCTGCTTCTCGCAGATCTCGCATACGAAAGGTTCGCCAGACCGCGCTTGGGCTGGCAGTGGTGGCACACGCTTGTGACTTGCCTCAGCCCTGCTTGACATCATCGAGGGTTCGTAGACACGCTCTGCTTTTACCCCCGCAATTGTTTGTGCTGGTACCGACGTACCCAAACCAGAGTCGTGGAAGATGGTTTTCGCTTTTCCGAAAGTGGTCTCTTGAAGCTCCTGCTTCATTGCTTCCCGTTGCAGACGAAGAATGTGATTATATCGATCCCAGTTCAACCTCCCAAGTTGGGCCACCATTTCTGGGGGAGCGAAAGGGAACTTTTCTGCAACACTGCTAGCGTAGGCCTGCTCCGGTAGGGTTTCTCCGATGTCTTTGATAGTACGAGGCTTCTCTTCGTCGAAGATTTCTTCAGCCGGTGATTCTAGGCTGGGTGCCAACATGACCAGTGTATCGATCTTCGTACGGAAGGTTTGACACATTGTCTCCGCGTCGTGCTCGGGCTGATAAGCGTAATCATGTTGTCGACCGATCATGTCCGTGACTTGTTCCAGAACAGTTGCAAAATCGGTAGACTGTAATATCTCTTTTCGATGATGCTCGCTGACCACAAGGTGTATCAAAGCTGACTCGAGTTAACGTTAAGGCGATACACTGGTGTGAGTGAAGTTTACTTACAAGTGCTCACAAATCGAGAGATGGATACAAGAACGGCCAGGCAAGTGTCGCGCAACTGGGGAGAGTCTTGAAGCACATCGTCGAGCTCGCCTCGCGGCAGTCCAAGGTCGGTACCCCAGAATAACAAAGTTGCGCAGGTCGACTCTAGAGAGATGTAATACCTATCGTCACTGTGTTGGCTCCTGAACTCCTTCATGATGAGTCCCAGCGTCTCTGTGAGAGATCTGAATAGTGACCCAAGGATTCCTAGCTCCTGTAGCTCGACATTTTGCACAGTGTCCAGGGCGAGCGGTTGTGAATCCTCGTCCTCCTCTTTCTTCACAGAAGAGTGAGCTGATCTAGCTTTGCTACTCCCAGTCGTTTCCTTCACGTCTTCGAATTGGGGTTGAGAGTCGACATAAGGCGTGGGCTTCTGGTCCGAGATCTGATGTACGAATGACCCGATGTCATCCACGAACAGTGGATAAAGCAACTCGACGATCTTTTCCGCGTTCGCCAATTCCAGGGCACGCTCGAACGGAATCCAGACACCTTTGAACTGTGTTGGCCCGAGTTTAACCACGTGTTTAGTCTTCTCACTCTTCAGCAAGGCGCCTTTGCGTGCTGCTGTCATACCAGCCAACGTGAGCAGCTTGGTGCCGTTGATCATGCGATTGTCGTCGCGACGAGCTACGGAGACACCCCTAGTCTCGACTTGATAGCAAAGACAGCCTTCATCTTTCCAAAGAGCTGTAGTAAAGTTAGATGAGGTTTCCGGAGGAGCGATTTTGCCTGCACGACCGAAAGGGACCGGTGGGTGGTTCTTTGAATCGGAATCGGAGAAGGTATGGGCGCCCGGAGACCTTGGTAGTAATTGTGTTGTAGACGAAGTTGTTGGCTCGATCGCTGGCGACGACGCGGTGTCTTGCTCGCGTTCCATTTCAGCCTGCCGGCGCTCCCTCATCAAGTCGCTTTCTTCGGTAGCCGTTGCATTACGACGGGCCTTTGGTGGAAGCATGGGCGCCGACTACCTGGCACACCCCGATCTTCACGCGCGGTAACCCCCCTCCTAAGGCTCCTGACTATCGCAACGCGCGCTTTCTCTCTTCAATGCCCGCTCTGCGTCGAGGGCATGCAAAGAGCTTGCCCAGATGTCGTTGGCGATCTGCACTTTGCGAGCCCGCTGCGCTCTGTTCGACCGACTGTATTTAAATTGATTAGAAACCAGCGGGCACGGTCAGTAGATGCTCAAGGGCGGGGAGACGATGGATTAGGACATGCGCACCAGCTGAGATCATGTAGCTTTTGCCAGGATGCCGACACGGCTGAGCAGCCACACGTGAACGGGCTGCGCATTGGAGGGGTATGTGCCGCCTATCGTATTGGGGGCCAAACTGCGCCTCGCTCAATCGACCTTGGAAGACGGGCATCCCGAGACTCATCAACTCCCATGTCTTTTGAGACTCATCCTCCACACCATGTCCGGCATCGAAATCGCAGGTCTAGTGTTCGGTGTTGTGCCCATTGTTGTCGAGATTCTGAAGTCATACGGTACGGCCAAGCGCACATTGGCGACCTTCTCACGACACGCGGAAGTTGCATACGACATCCAGCTGAGATTCGAAGTAGCAGCAGCAAACTTTAGCAACGAATGCCGCCATCTGCTGCAGGCTGCCATCGCCCATCCGAGCGATGTCTCTGAGATGATGGAGGACCCGACCCACAGGAGCTGGCAGGAACAAAGAAAGGAGATCGAACAGCGGCTGCGAGATTTGATGCAGCACGATTACGAGCTATGCGAGAGCATCGCGACGCGACAACGCGATATCCTCCGTGAGACACGGAACAGCCTGTCCAAGCTCGAGAATAGCCTGGGTAACGCAAAACAGTCACAACACGAGTTCGCACGGAAGCTTTGGAACGCGTTCAATACAGCTCGCAAGGAGAACGAGTACCTCCGACAGCTCGATTCGTTGGATAGATGGAATAAGTCGCTGGGCAAGTTGTGTAAGCAGAGGCGCAAAATGCAGAAGCGTCGCAATGTTCCTTCGGCTTGCATTATCCGCAAAGCCGTGCCAAGGAGCTACCAGCAGATCCGCGTCGCCTCACAACAGTTAGGAGAGTCCATTCACGACTCGTGGTCTTGCACAAACACCTCTCACAGTGGACACCAGGCGAAGTTATCGCTCGACGCCAAAAGCGAGTACGATAATGTGCAACTCGACGTTGTCATCGCTTGCCAGCCAAAGCCGAATACGGCAATCCAAAAGTATGTCAGAGCGGATAGTTTTCGCAGCCCGAAAGGAAGTAGAAACGCTGTTGACTAACGACGATGTGTAGTTCATCTAGCAACGTCCCAATATGGCTGCAAATTCGGTCCATTACATCCCTCGCGATGTGTACGGCTCCAACGTTACCTCCACAGGCACTAGCGAACGCGTTTCGTTGTGGGATCAACGACGCGTCGGAAGCTACGACCCCAACGCCGCCCATCAAAGCCAAGTCCAAGAAAAGAGTCCGAATCAATGATCCCAAAGACGACATTAAATGTGTTCGAACACCACCAATAAGCCACACGTTAGCAACACAAGCACAATCTTTTGTCATGCTAGACCTAAAGACAACAAAAAGCGTATGCTGTCATGTAACGAGAGTGCGGTCATCTACATCGGCATGTCAAGATAGCTGCGTGGGGTTTCTTGAAGTCGCAAAGAGTCAGCCAACAACCCGCTTCATGTTCTACGATGCCAGCAAGCTTGCGACCAACGATGTGCCTTCTTGTAGCCGGCGACAAGGAGCGCTACCGATCAAGAACCTGGTGCAACGCTTCCAGATCCTGCAAAAGATCACACTCGCGCAAAAATTGGCTGAGGCTGTTCTCCAATACCATTCAACCTCTTGGTTACCGCAGGCATGGACACTTCAAGATGTAGCATACTTCACGGATCAATCTCAAGCCGACGCGAACAATGTAGCCAATGCACTGGACAGCTTGCATTTGAGCAACCGCTTCCCAGATCCAACTTCGCCGGACGGTGTATCACAACAATCCTCGCTTGATCTGAAGCATAACTTCGGCATCCGCAACCTGACGCTAGCTAAACTCGGCGTCGCGCTACTAGAGATATGTGCTCAGACGGATAGCACGACGCCGCAGCTGGAGGGATCGCCTCAAATCCGTGAGATCATCGCCGCGAGAAAGCTGCTTGATGAACAACATCATTCGATCACGACTTTAGGCTCGCGGTACTTGCAAGTCGTGCGCAAATGTCTATATTGCGACTTTTCCTGTGACGATGACCTCCATGGCGAAGCGCTCCAAAGTGCGGTGTACACCGAGGTCGTGTGTACTTTACAGGATATGGGAACTCAATGGAAGAAAGTGTTCGGTCTTTGAAGGTTCGCGATGAATGTTGGATAGTATGGATTCGGTAGATAGCACCCCTGCGAAGCAGAAGAGTGCATGAGGTGTGCAACGTCGAGGTGCAGCGTTCCATTCCGTTTCCGATCGGAGCAACATTTGAATGACGTCCGCATCTAGCCCGCTTCGGGTAACGCGTGACACCGCCTTCGCGCTCCCCCCAAGTCCAGCTCTCGGTCGGTGTCTACTCCGGCGCGCATGAGCAAGGATGAGTCGATTGACAGCGAGCATTTGAGCATTCCGTCGGATAATTTCGCGCGAGTAAGCGCTAGGAAAGGGCGTAATGCTACTACTATCACGCAGGTGTCTACATAACTGTGTTGAAGGGCGCCTGCCTAGGTAGCTCAACCTTGGAATGCCAACGTCGTCACATCCCGAGGTCCCCTCCTTCTGCACATGCCTCGACGCTGAGAAGTTCAACTTCAACAACACTCGCAAGCATGGCACCACAGAAAGCGGAGTTTATTAAAGTGCCGACTGATAACTCAGATGGCTTCCAGACAATGCCCGTAGAGCCCTCAAGACGGTTGTCGGAGTCGGAGTTGCGTATCGAGAAATGCACGCCGGATGATGCTGAGAAGATCGTGAGTTACTCCATCAACCTTGACCCAATCTTCCGAACCTACCCAGTCTTTCTTACCTATACATCTCATCATGCTAACCCCCGACCCAGGCCGAGGGCCTCTACCTGTGCTTCCCAGATGACTGGTGGGCCAAAAAAGAGCCCCCGGAGATCCGCCCAGCAGGCGAGGACAGCCTCCAAATCCGGATCCAACGCATGGCCCAACGACTAACCCCCGCCATCACCGACCCTCATCATTGCTTCATGAAAGCCGTCTACACGCCCACGGGCTCAACAATCGGAATAGCAGGCTGGACCCTTCCCACCAACCCCTCCGTGCACAACCTCTTCCGCCGCAGCGCCGCGACGCATTACTCCTGGGCAAAGTCGCAAAACTGGAGCGACGCCGATCTCGATCTCATGTGGTCGCACGTCAGCTCCGAAAACTGGAGCGAGCGCTTCGCCAAAGACGATGAGGTGAGGAGGGAGGCGACGGGCGGAGAGCGGCATTGGTATCTTGCGCCGTTGCTTACGTGGCCGGAGTGGCAGGGGAGGGGTGTGGGGAAGAGGTTGATGGAGTGGGCGTTGGGGCAGGCGGATGAGAGGGGGGAGGTTGTGTATTTGGAGAGTAGGCCGAGTGCGAGGGCGGTGTATTTGCATGCGGGGTTTGTGGGGTGTGGTGGGGAGTGGAATATGATTAGGTGGCCGAAGGGGAGGGAGGGGGGAAAGGGGGAGGGGGAGGAGAAGGGGGAGGTGGAGGGGGAGGTGGACGTGGAGGTTGCGACGAAGGGAGCGAACGCTAAGGGTGCGATATGAGCCGACTCCTGCGTGATGGGACGACAGACGAAGCCGCACGAAGGGTATCATGTGAATGACATATGGCACTGTGCAAACCTTGGGGATAGCTAAGCAGCTACAGGACTAATGAAGAAGAAATAGTCATTTGACCTACTCCATAACCTTACTATCTATCGAACTTCGCTTGTAGGGCGTAGTAGCCTCCTCGTCCTAGACGTTGTTCCTCCATCCGTTCCCGATATGCCATAGCAGCCTTGATCCTCGCCGACCCTTCGCTCAGCCCCTTCCCCAAACAAGATATCACATCAATCGCCAGTTGGCCCGCGCCACCCAGCGCCTTCTGGAACGCAGGTTGCAGCTCCAGGTGTTGGATCTGAGCCATGATGTAACCCAGTATCTCCTCTCGCAGGGCATCACGCTTCGAAGGGGTATCGTGGTCTTGAGTGTTGTCGTTGTTGTAGACAAAGGAAGCCAGGGCGACGATATCTTCGACCCGCTGCGGGGTTGTTACGAACTTTTCTTCCATGCATAGTTGTAGTGCAACGTGGAGCTTGGACATGGCGAGTTTCTTCAATGCGGGGATGAGGTAGTAGTCAGCGAGGCAGTACATCTTGGCGTGGAAGAGGAAGACGTCTTTGTGCTTATAGTTTATACCGCCCACATGTTGCTCTTTCATGTGCGAGGCGACTTCGTCCCAATCTTCTCCATAATAGCATGGACATTGCTCCTTGGCGACAAAGCGCTCGTAGGGCGTTGGGTAAAAATGTGGCATATGCCACATTTTTTCAGGAGTGGTTGCTTTGGCATATTCTTCTTCGCTTATTGTAGGAACCCAGTCGTCCAAGGTCTCGCACGATCTAGCCTCCATGTCGACTTCGACTTCGATATT